CAGCGACCACGGAGAAAGCAGGGCACCTTACCCTCCTTACATTTTCGATCCTTTTGGTTTTCGTTAAATTTTCCTCCAAAAAAAATTGGTTGGTCGTCCTATTAATGCCATTTGATTCCTGAATGCGAATATGTGAAGGGGCGAAGGTAATGACGGGATGAAAAGAACTCAAAATATTTTATGTAGAAATCAATCTTCGAGTGCTATACTGCCAAAGTGAAACCCGATTCATTCCAGCGCGTGTACCGAGCTGCAGGTAACACTGCGCTTAAAATTTTGCACCTTTGCGAAACTGTCTTCCGCCTAAGATAGACAAATAACAAAAAACTGATGTTTTTGTAAAAAAAACTTCGCCAAATAAAAGTTTCGCTTAATTGATTTCGTAAAAAACTCGTCTTATGCCAAAATATGGCGTTCCTAGAAATTTATAAAAACTCGGAGAATATAAATGAAAACATCAAGAAAAGTGATACGACTCGATTGAATGGATTCAATAGTGAAAATAAAAAAATCAGTAGAGGCAGGACCAACTTACTTGGCGCGGTTTTATTTACAGAATAATGCTAAAATGAAATTTGATTGATAATTAAAAGTGACCGAAGATAATCTTTACCTCTAACTCTAGTGTTTGGGAAAAACCGGGCCAAGTAAGTTGGTTCTGCCTCTACTGATTTTTTTATTCTTTTATTTTCATTATTGAATCCTTTCAATTGAGTCGCATAACTTTTCTTGGCGTTTTCATTTACATTTTCTGAGTTTTTTTTTATTTTTAGGAACACCATATTTTGGAAAAACACGAGTTTTGTACGGAACCAATTGAGCAAAACCTTTACTTGGCGCAGCTTTTTTTACAAAAACACCAATTTTTGTCATTTGTGGGAGTATTTACGAATTTTTTCTATATAAGTAAAGAATTATTTTCACGTTTTCCAAATTTTCGTCACCCACATCAAGTTTTCAGTTTATTTGAAGTATATTATTTGCATGCTTTTTTTATATAATACACAATGTGTTTCAACAATTTGAAAAACTCCTTTTTACATTTATGTATGCATTAGACCGAATCAATTTTTTTTTTAATGTCGAAATCTCGAAATTCATACTTCCATTAACCTTCAAAATTGACTTCAGTCACATGTGTAATTACACACATAAATGGATCAAAAACTGCATATAATGTTCCAACAAAACGCAAAGCTAATATTCGTTATCATAAAATAAACAATTATAATTATGGAACTAAATAAAAAACATAAAATCCCAGGGAAGAAATAAAAAACTCTCCTCTGTTTCCCTGTTACAATTCAACGGTTTAATACACCGATGGCAACATCTCAACGTCAAATTTGGCCCAGGTTAGATTGGATCGAACTGCTGCCAACTTAATGACTTCAATGTAACCGAAAGATAATAGAAATCGGGAAAATATTGAAATGAGCCCGTTACCATGGGCGTATTTTTGCCACTATTAATCGAAAAGAGAGAAAACTTATATCAATAAAAAGTTTGAGGGCGATTTATATAATGTAACTATGCACATATTTTATGTAACTTGTGGCGTTTGTTTTTTATGGATTGAATACGATTAGGAGGTAGTGGAAGGGGTACTTGTGTGAAAACGCAAAGCTAGATAGATACACGGTATAGATACTATAGATACACGGTAGCTCTCGGCCTTATTTGTTGGATAGAGACGAAACTTTTACTTGGACGATACGCTACCGCGTATCTCGATATGAATCGACGTTAGGCGATTATGAGTATTGACATGAGGATTTAGACAATGCAATAAATCAAGTCCGGAATACTGTTTGCATTATAATAAACTAGATCATTTTGTTAGGATTGATATCCAACAGATTTACTGATTTCTTAAACCGAGAAAACCGGTACCATATGTTTAGTAGTTGTGAGGATATCGAATATGGTAAATGGCCCGATGTGAGGATAGTAGCATTTACGATTTTCACAATGGTAAATCATCCTATAATTCATCATGATTGCTGTAGCGAATAGTAATCTTCACTTAAGTTGCATGGTATCAGTTACTATAGAGAAATGTAATTAATACTTCTCTAGATGGTCAAATTTGTGGTGAATACATTCGAATAGAATGAGTATTAGTAGAAAAGGTAACATGATATTGTACTCGGTGACACAACTTTATCGGCGAGTGTAGGATAATCTATAGAAAATTTTAAGAGATCATTTTATGCATGGGTGCAGTAGTTTTTATATGTTACGCCGACGCCATTTGGTGGTGAAGGGTTCATGTAATTGAACCCTGGCAAGTCAAAACCTGGAAAATGCAAATAATCCGAGAAATAATCTGCGCGCACTGAAATGAAGAGAATAGCTCCTTTCAGTCTCTGCATTCAAACAATTGCGTCAAGTTTCCTACAAAATTAATCCACCAAATCTGAGGGACTCATTCGGTTACAGTAGAACTATTATCACACAATGCCTGATCATTTAAATCTCTGGCCGTATCACTACTGATGGAATCTTGGTTACGATCGCTACAGGTGCATGAGTGGCCCATTGGGAATGACACAATGAAATCTAAGATGGAAATTGATCCAGCTACTCAAAAAGATGCAGGATATTACGAGTGCCAAGCAGATAACCAATATGCAGTCGATCGTCGAGGCTTCAGAACTGATTACGTTATGATCTCTTATTAAGTTTCCTTCTCCTTATGAATATGATAGATTATAGTAGAGACATAATACGTTCGATGGAAGGATTTTCTATTACCTTTTAATAATCCAAGTACGGTCATATTTGAGAATATATGAAATAAAAGTAACTGCAAAAGGCTAATCTAATGGAAAAATTGTTTTAGGTCTGTTTGCGAAAATAGTCCCAACTTTTGAGGAAAAAAATCCAGGTTTTGTTACATTATCGTCGGTCATGAAGCGGCCGGTTAATAGTCCAGCAGACTTAGACTCAAATAAAATGATCCCATGAAGCAATTCAAAATTCGTTCAATTCCGTTTGTTTTCTTGCTGTTCAAAATGGGTTCTTTGTTTTACATCTACATTGGCCATAATTCCTCTCCTCGCTTAAAATATTCCGTCTTTGATAATATTCCATACTGTACGTTACATTCTGTACATTGTAAATATATATGTATGTTACAAGAGGTATTTTTTGAAAGTTTTTAATCATTTCAATGTTCCTATTCCTCGTTAATATCATGTACATAAGACTACTATCACTTTTTGCAATGTATTCCTTCATTTTCCTTTGTGACGCCGTGGTCATCCTCCGTAGACTTTTCCCTGCTTCCTTCGTTTTTCGCACCCTAGTTGCCTTTCTCCTTCTCTTTGCACTTCGGATAACCTCGTCTGCATGTTCTCTCTCTCTCTCTCTCTCTCTCTCTCTCTCTCTCTCTCTCTCTCTCTCTCT